GAAGGGAAAACAGAAGTTTTCCTTTAGAGGACATAGCATGAATAACTTTTATCTTACATTAAGCTAGAACTGCAAAGGTAATCCGTTAACTATTTCACCTGGGAGGAAGCATGAATTTAATTTGCCCAGACAATCCCTCTGCTCCCAAACTGCCCATCTATCCTTATCTTATTTGTACTGCATTTTGTGTTTGTCAGTGAACTGCCACAACCAACCAAACCATTCTCACTAGCCTGTCACAGGGATTAACTGTAGCATAACTCACATGAATTCCTCTTTATTTTCTCTTTTACGAGTATTTTCAAAAGTTATATTCACTGAATCTGAATTCTTCTGCTGGGAATTAAACTGTGAGCAGCTCAGGCCTTTGTTTCTACAGGCATTCTCCACGGATGTGTTTGTGAATTTACTCCAACACTTAAACATTCTTAGAAGCTGTTCATAATATGCAGGTCTGTTTCGGGATACAAGTGTTTGTTCTTTTCACTCTGGGACTCCAACCACAAATAATCAAGACAACTCAATCTGTTCCAGTCTTTATCTTTAAAAACAAGCAACCAAACTCAGGAAAATTTACATGATCAACTCTCCTTTCAATTTACATTTACTATCCCAATGTTAGCTGAACATATGTTACCCAAAATCATTTAAAGCAAAAGACATCCAAGTCTAAGACATCCAAGACATGCATTTTCTATCCTGATTCTGCATGTAGTTTTCTTTCCTCCTTTTTAAGCCCCAAATCAACCTTCAAGAATCACGTTTCAGTGTTCAAACCACTGCAATGTCCTATCTTTACAGGATATTCAGAAAGCCTTTCTGATAAAGAACGACAGCAATTGTCCTGATTTTTCACAGGACTTTATGGTTGTGGGTTTTTTGTTTCTAAGATAAACCACCTGCAGTACAAACATAAGGCATGACTAATCACAGCTCAATTTTAATTGAGCTACTGTCTGTTCGTAACATAGGAAATGAAGGCAAAAAGCAATGCAGCAAATCTGGTAACTGGCTGCAGCGGAGAACATTTGGTTGCAATTTCTTACATTCTGATGGCTTCATTTAATACAAAGTCTAAGCACATAGACAGGCCCATCTTTGTTGGGAACAGAACTAGTCAGATCATAATTAAAATATTCATTTAAACATATGGCATTTAGACTTTCAGTACATGGGATGTCACGCTTAGAACAATTACAGGTGTCTTTGAAGCACAACTGAGGGACAAACTTGGTGTAAATATCTCCTCTCCTCTCCCTGGAGTAAAACTTTTCAGTCATAGGGGATAAAAACATTTCTTTCTTACCAACTTTTGCTTACAGATAAAAAATTACGTCCATCCAGAATATATACGGCATGTTTCAATAAGCTTATTTTTTCAGTATGAAATAACATCTTCACAAAGATGACTGAGCAAAGTCATCTTGAAATGATCATTTGAAAATAACTATTACCTGTAGAAAAAGCAGGAATAATATATGGGATATTAAACTTAGAATTTGTGCCATTTTTTTAAAATGATATTTCACATAATCAAAATGTGAAGCTACAAGATATTAAACTGAAAAATATCTCTGAAACATTCAAAAAATAAAATGCTAGCAGTGCATAATGTACAAATAAATGAAGCAGCAAACAAGAAGCCTGCTGAGATGAAGGAAATTTGGTATTCATAAAGATCCTATTCAATTTCCCAAACTACTTTTGTCTACCCTACCTATATTCACACCATGTTCTCAAATGCTGTTGGATTTACTAGCAGAGTATCTAAAGAAACATCATTTGGACACAAAAACATGAAGGTTATTTTTTTTAACCAATGTTGCTTCGATGACTTCATATCTTTCTTATAACGTGATCAAATAACACAGAAAAACAGAATGTATACATGGCTAATTTTTTTCAAGTCATGTTATGTACATTTTATTGCCAGTATATGCACAATGGTAAGCAGAGAACTATAAATACACAATGTAATTAAATGGTAGAAAACAACAAGAATGTTACACGTAACAAAGGAAAGAAAGAGGAGATACTATTTTCCTGACGTAGCTGTTAAGAAGGGCTAGTGACAGGTTATGACAGCCTTGATTTGAAGTCTTTACATATATTTCTACAACTTTTCCTCCAAATAAATCTCTGTAACGGCATTGCTTCTTTAACAACAACATCTCAGCTTTTCTCTGATTCACTTCAAACTAAAGTGAAAACAACCTTTCATGTAACTACAAGCATCTGACAGTTTTCCATTCAGTTTTGGTTTTCAGGGTACTTAGCAAGCAAAGTGTATAAGCGGCTCTTGCAATATTTGGCTGTGTGTTGAAGAACAGTTTTCAGTATGCAGTAAGTGATAATTTGGGAAAAACAAAGACTTTGCAGATAGTTCTTCCACCGGGTGCTACATGCAGCAGCTCAGCCAAAAATTAGTCACCCTGAAGAGGTAGAGAGAATTTTAGCCTAGCGTTGATCATCATCCTTGGCACTACAATTTTCTCTCTTATCAGGATATATTCCTACAACTAGACAACACCACAATCAAAGGGAAAGAAAAGCTAGGGAAAAAGAGTTTCCATCATTTCTGGGAAGGGTGCTGCTTATCCCAGTTCTCAGTTAACTAACTTGTTGCTTATACCAAAGACATAAAAAGAAAAGGACAAAAAAAAAAAAAGAAAAAAAAAAAAAAAAAGAAAAAAAAAAAAAAAATGAGAAAATTTTGGGACACATTTAGTTGACCTGTTTTCTCTTTCCATTATCAAGTTCATAAATACAAAGAACCATTATTCACAATAAACGAACTCTTTTTCAAAAATGGAAAAACAAACCCTGGAAACATTTCCACACCTTAATCCAGATGGGTCTTGAGGATGCTATTCAAGAAAACCATGCAAACATTCGGTGCAGCTTTCCCAACTCATCCAAAATATATAATTTTTTAAATTAGAAGGTGGCAAGATCGATAGCATTTGTGACTATTCCCTCCCCCCCCAATAAAATTCAATGCAGAAAATCTTGGTGCTTTTAGGAAGATAACGAATAAATAGTTTTCTGCACTGTTGTCATAAAATCCCATGTGAGTTACAATACAAGACTACTGGTTCCAGCAATTAGGTTGAGAGGAAACATTCTAGTGATAAATACATACTGAGCATGCTTGGGCAGAGCACTCCATTCTGAAGCATCCTGCTTGAAGAAGGAAAGGTGGCAAGGATGGTTCACGTCCATCAAGTGACCATTAAGTCTGCTGCTAAAAGCAGACTGCCACTCTGTCACCAGGTCGGCAGGGCTGTCTCCCACACCAAGAGGCACTGGTGGCACCAGTCCTCTGCTGTGCACACAAAATTCTTATTTATGCAACAAACATACAACCAATGAACAATATCACTTGTACAGAACTGGATCGATCCAGCTTTTTATAGGCATACTTCTCAATCTCCAGAATATCCCAAACAAGCTGTAAATAAGATGATGAACCACCAACAGTGACTGAGTCTCACTGCAGTCCAGACTAGTTTGGCCTAGTTTCACATCACTTCTTGTTTCTAGCGAAGGACACAATACTCAAACAAAATAGCAATAAAAACAGTGTTATCTGCAGCTGAAAAAAAGCAACAGAATTTTATATTTTAACTTCTGAAGCTTAAAGCATACCTGTATAATTAGCATTAAAAAAACCCTTTTTTTAATACAATAACACTGGCAAAAGTTAATGGGAAGACACAGAGGATCGCAACAGGATATCTGATGAATTAGATTATTTTTAAATTTTATTCTGCTTTGACCAACTGATGTTAATACTGCTTTTCCTTAGATTTGGAATAATTCTATTGCAACAGTCACATGCAGGCTGAAGACAGCCGTTGGTTAAGGAAAAAAAAAAAAAAAAAAAAAAAGAAAAGGAAAAAAGAAAAAGAAACCAGGGTTCCAAAAGTTGTGTGTAAGAATTTTCCTTTCACTTGATGAGGGCTTTGCCCTTGCTTCAGGAGAGCTGGTTAATTCTTGTCAGCTTCATTAGCTTTGTCCAGACATATCTGCTGTCGTATCCCCTGGTCCAGAGCCTGTTTGTGCACGCTTGATGTAAAGGTTCAATAACTTCATCTGCAAAGCCAGGAATTAATTTTGTTCAGTATTTACACACTGTACACTCTACAGAAATGATACATTGAATTCTTCTCTTAATTCTTCTCTGAAAAGAATTCTTCTCTTAAAAGCAAAACTGTATTTTACACCATTAAGTGAAAGGTAACACACTTGCTAATATCTAACACAGCAAATCTAAGGATGCGAAGAAGAAAGCAACCTATGGCAGCTACACTAAGACAGATACTTTTCCCCACATTACTGTGCTGCTCTGATTAAGGCAGGTTACTGGTGGTTTTTTTTGTTTTTTTTTGTTTTGTTTTTTTTTTTGTCTGTTTCTTTCTCTTAAGTGAATGTTGTGGTTTTAAGCCTCTACTTACAGGCAGATTGATTCCAGCACCTACCAAAGCTTCCAGTGCTGTCTACAGTCATATTCAATGCAATCACTGCCAGACTGTCTTTAAGATGCGTTTTATTGAAATGTATACAATATTAATTGTCTTGCTTTAGCCCCATGGACAAATTCATAACATACATCTATTTGAACGTAAAAAAACAGTACATAAGAGGTTTCCTAACCAAAAAAGGAACACAAGGTTCTTCCTCACCAAATCAGAGGTTCTGAAAGGACAGATTAAAGCAAAAAACAAACAAACAAACAAACAAAAAAACACACAACAAAGGAGACATACATAACATAACATAAACATAAACTATGTTACATAATAACTGCTTTTCAGTCAGCACTGCATGGAATACGAGGCAAGATATGGAGGTAGAAAAAGCCATGCTGAATGTAGCTACTAAAAAGTCTGACAGTGTACTCAGGTAAAAATTGTTCTGATTTTTTTTCAGCCACTGACCACATACAATTAAATAAATCTACTGTAAAGCAACAAGAAACACAACTTCTTATTTTTCAGGTTGCTGAAGTTTCGTGCATGTGCCTGCAGACCTATGGATTTTCAGTTTTGAACCTTTGATATCAAAGTTACATCGACCCTCTGAGTGTTTCAGTATCCCTGGCTATCTCCATTCACATACACACTTTTATGTATAAACTTCCTGGTAACTGCAACCACAACACAAACGTATACAAGTATTTATGAACCAAAACTTCTTAAATGTCATTTTTTACTTACTTTACTGCCAGTGAGTTGACTGAGATGTGGTTTTAGTTCATCACCAATTACTGCATGAATGGCTACAAGGCAGAAAACACATGCCTTACGAACACTGCTCTCCGAATTATCATAACCCTAGAAAGCAATAAAATTAACATTAATTGCTTATCAGTTAATGATTAAAAGCCTCAGAGAACTATTCAGTACTACTTATAATAAATACATTAAAATCTACTTTAAGTGAATGCTAAGCATTCCAAGAAAAAAAACCCCACAAAAACAAGCGAATACAGAACATGCACATTTGAAAGGCAGGCTGTTATTAATTACCATTTATAATTATTTTTCAGACTGAAATTAAAACCCATACAATTCCTGTTCGTAATCTATACTGGAAACAGAGCTGCTGTCATGCTCCACATGGAAATACAGTAGGGGAGATCACAGGATAAAGTCTTCTAGATTACAGATATTTATTAAACAGAAAACCATTGCATTCAGAGCTTTCTTACTCCTAAAGAAGCTGTTTCTTAACAGGTAAAACTCTGTCATTAACTCCCATCTTGTTACTGAATGATTTTTGTTTCTCATGCCTGGTTGTCTCACATCCCTTTCTCAGAAGGCTCTGCCTCTTACCTTCTTGCAGATGTGTGATTTGACCTTATGCATTAAAGTCAGAAATCTGCAGAATGAAGCCATCAAATTCTGGGAAGTCTTTATTCAGCACATGCAAGCTGATGTGTTTTGACTCTTTATATAGTGGCAGATTATTCATTTTTAAAGACAGAGAAAGAAACTTTTTATAACCTCCTAGTTTTATTGAACTTTCCCAATCAACTGCTTCCTTCCTCTTGCTTCCCCCAAGCCCCAAGTGATAAAACCCTGCAACGGTACAAACATTCAACGTGGATGACTTCAGACCAAATGGTCACAACTTGGAAAAGATACTACATATAACTGAAAGAGTCTATTAAACTTAACTACAGCCAATACTTCATATCCTAGCCAGATCCTGAGTCCTAACCACAGTTACAGTTTAGCCAGGTGACAATGAAAGACACTGTGCTCACTATCTGAATTAGTCTGGGTCAAAGTAGCCATCAGCTGTAAGACCAATAAAAATCCCTCATGAGAGCCAAGCAAGAGTATTTTGAAAAAATCTTTGTAATTCTTCCATACAAAGAAGGTGGGTTTTTTTTGCTTTGTTTTTACCTGTATTAAACCTGGCACAATCTCTGGTAAAAGCTGAGTAAGAGTTTCTTTAGATACTCTCTCTATGACTTTTGTCTGCATTTTGATTGCAGCCAGATTAATTGGGTAATCTGCAGTCTGGATAATTGGACAAAGGACTTTGATGCACTGATCTGGGCTAATGGAAGTGGCCAGCATGGAAGCAGCTTCTTCAGCAGATCTCACCACCTATCGAAAGAATGAAAAACACATGGAAAAATTATTTAGAAGACAATTAGTGCCAGTACAAGTCTTGAGCATAAGAATTTCTTAACAGCTCCACAGCATTGTAAAAATAGGCAAAGGATTTTTAAATGTGTGCAATTTTGCAACTGTTGGACTACTTACTGTACTAAAAACAAGGCTCTTCCCAACACCGTATGACTGAACTATACGTTCTGCAAGATGTGCACTGGTGTCTTCCAAACCTGCCTGAAAATACCTTCCAAACTTGACAATAGCTGTCAAATCAGATCTGAAATCTCTCTAGTCTGCAATGCTATGCAGAATATAAATACAATATTATACAACTACATATTGAAATCTCTCCACTATTGAAAGCCGTAATTTCCTGTGTTGTCATTCATTACTGTCTTTGACCACTAATAAGCTCCCATGTTCATCTCAAAGACTGTTTAATGACAATCATAGATTGCTACTTCTGGAGGCTTCTCCCATCTTTAATTTAAAAAAAAAAATTCAGTTAAGAGTTCTTAAGACTCTTAGGGAAGATACAGGAAAACAGTTAGTCAAAAGGTGCAGAAGCTCAGGATACAACACAGACATAAGAGGGAAAATTCATCTCTTCATATTTCTGCATCTGTGGTGTCTGGCAGCTAAAAGACAAGCTGCTAGATTATGTACAAAAAACTCAGAAGTCTTTCTCTTCAACCTTGTCTTGTTTACTCTTTCTCACATGCATTAAAAAAAAAAAAAAGGAGAAATGGAACAGTAATATGGAGGGACAAATGGAAAGAAAAAAAAAATAAACATGGTGCATGAAATTAAGAGGGCGAAGGGGAAACAAAGATGAGTATCAGATGAGTGACAAACATCACTGGTATGGAAAAAACTGCAGTCAAAGTTCTGAATTTGGAACTCCACCCCAAGTCCCATATACAGAAAAAAGTCCTATCATAGGGAGTGTGGGAGCAAGGAAAGCAGGGAGAGATTTATGCATCTCATTAGACATCTTATTTTCATAACATCAGTGACACTGATGTGAAGTGTTTAATGTTTGGGTGGTTTCTGTATTTGTGTTTCTTATATCAAAATACATCATCCTTTGATGTGTATGCACATTATCTTAAGCTTTCTGAGCAAGATTACACTTATCCTACTTCTGAATCTCCTCACAGTTCCCAGCCACAACCAACTCTTCCCTGCAGTATCTTCTCTCCTGGAAACGAAGCCATGCTCTCGAATGGTGAAGAAGAAAAGCTTAACCAGAGCTGGTTAAAAATGGGAAGGGATTGTAATTTCCTTGCCATGTTCAATCCTATCTCTCAACTACCAACCTTACAGAAATCCAAAGGGTTGCATTAGATAACTGGGCTAAAAAAGACATATAACAAAAAACTCCCTTCAGTTATTCTTCATAGAACTGTGCTGGCACATCCTTGGCTTTGGTTTTACGTCCTCTTGGGCAGCACCCAAGGCAACTGTTACTAGGGCTGATATTAAGCATTTCAGAGCTTACAAAACTGTAGTTCTTTGTTTTTCTTTTTTTTTTGCATGCCTGTGTTAACATCTTCATTATTACACAAACGATTCATCGGTAAGATCTGATCTCTCAAACACTTTCTGGACATTACACAGCTGCTGCATTCTGTGATATTTTGTCACAGTCTCAAACAAAGAAAACTGCTTACTAACCTCCTTATGAGGATCCTTATGCGCTTCTAATGTCTTCATTATTGTGAGCTCTGCGTAATTCTTAAACCTTGCTGGCTGATTCCTTAGGATTTCTCTTAGAACTTTCAATGCCAAAGCTCTAATTGCATGCTAGAGATTAAATATTAAAACAAATGAGTTATGTAACATTGAATAGGCAAATGTTTAAGTGTTTATTCAACAGTTTATAAAGTTTTGACATAGTAAAACATCAGTGCCTTTCTATGCATATATACAATATGAAACTAATATGGAAATAAATACAGCTAAAAAAAGTCTTCAATTGTTTGCTCTTTTTGAAATAATTCAGGTGGTGCATCATAACCATGCTGCTAATTGGAACTATCTATGCTGAGCTGCATATAGTTTTACTCTTTGGAGTATTTTAGCATCACACAGTCACACAAATACATTATCCTTGAAAACAGATATTTTATTATTATCAAATCAAAAGCAATTATTAGTGCCAAGTAAACCTGAAGGATACTTGAGAAGATGGCCTTTCACCATTAAGAGATTCAAGAGTTCACATGATGTTCCTGCATTTCCATAACTTCTTGTTTTTCAAGACTAGCTGGAATTTGTGCTTTTCCTACAACCCACACAACTTTAAAAGCCACTGAAAGCAAACCATGTGCATTTTTAACTAGATTAATCTAACTTTACCTCTTTGTCTCCAAGTGTTTCAAGCAGCAAAAGCAGTATTGTTTTGAAGTGCTCATCCCAAACACCAAAAGACTCTTCTTGAGTTAACTTCATGAGCTCATACAGGGCAGCCTTTCTTTCCTCAACTCTCTCGTTATGGTTTGATAACTCTTTTAGTAACTCTGCAACTAGATCAGAATGATCCATGGGAGGCTCTATCAAAAAAGGAATGTATACAAACAGAATTTTGAAACTTGGTAAATATTAGTAAATATTAGTACCTGATGCAGAACTGAAAAGTATCTTCTAGGGGAGCTAACTGCTTTCTTTTTGTTTTGTTTTGTTTTCCTCCAAGTCTGTTTGCCAGAATTACAGTTTAATTACTTCATTTTCAAAGCAGCCAATATTCCTGACCAAGCTTACAATCACAATAAAACAACGATGATACAGCAAAAAACAAAAGCATCCACAAAATTGAAGAGAATCCAGCAACCTGTAGGCTGGCTTAGTGCTAGAGTTTCTTGCTCCTGTAATACACAAAGTGGCAAGTTCCCTGGATCCTTTTAAATCTGATCTATACAACAGAGGGCTGCTTTTCCCAATGACCTTTCCATCGAAGAAGAAAAATTCACACGTGCACCTTCAGTATTACTGTACTGGTCAGCTTTTTTGTAAGCCACGACTCCACAGCAATGGCTAGGCTTTCAACACAAACAGGAAAACAAAATGCACAAGAGTGGTCCTTGATGTAAAACAGTGGAAATACAAACAAACCAAGGCTTTTAGCCTCATAGAGATTCCAGGGAATGCCTACTATCCCAGTGGCAGTCATTACAAGATAGCACTGGATTTCAGTGTTGATTACGGAGAATTCCATGATGATGGAGAAAAGTATCAGTAGCAATTCTTATTTGGAAACACAGGACTACAGATGTGGAAATCTGCAAAGTCAAAAATAAAAGCCTTGATTCTGGTCTAATTTAAGTGGAACGTCAAGATACTGCCTTTACTCCATCATCAGGACCCTTTTAGCCTTCAAGAAATAAAAGCAGATAGCTTCTACCTTTGCACTGAGACTCTGGAATAAATTAACTTTTTTTTTTTTTTTTTTTTTTTTTTTTAATTCCCCTGGACAGAGGCTGAAAGTTTTCTTTCAGGGGGTAAAGAACAGCATTAAAAACCAAGTTTTCCCAAAACTGCACCTTTCCCAAAATTATTGCACTTTATTAACACATGAAATACATTTTTCAGAACAAATTTATTAGGTCATATACTGAGAGACTACAATTCTGAAAAACATAAGGACAAGATGTGGGGTGTATTCTTTCACAGTTTGTATTTTCCATTCCTGTATATGATTTAGCTGTGGTGTTTAATTCACAAACATTCTCCAGATAAGAAAGGAGAAGTATAAAAATGTACTTGCAACTTTTTTTTCCCCCTGAAAACAACAACAGAAATGAGTAGGAGCAAATGCAAGTGCTTCATCTGAATGAACTGAAGTATGTAGCAGATACATGTAAAATATTATATATATACAAATATTTGATAAAGAACAGCTCTTCTCAAACCATCAAATAATGTCATTTTGACAAGATACGCAGTGCTGGCAGAAGGAAAGCATGGCATGTTCTGAACACAATAAAGATTTGCCTACTGTCTGAAACATGCCCAAGCAAGTCAACAGGGCAGGAACAAAGCCTGGATGAAATACTTATAAAATGACTGGATTCTAAATTGCTTTCTATTACTCTTGGAGGATACCAGTGATGTCCCTGCTCAGGCCTGTGCATGGCCTGGTTCTGTTTGATGCTTTTTTATTAACGCTTTTCATGGAATATGGAGACTACTTTTAAAATCTACAAACTATTTCATTTTAAAAACGATGAAAGAGAGAAGAAATGGTAATTAACTTGATAAATAAGGAATGATCTGAAAGAAAAAAAGATGAAAACTAATGACAGTAAGTTAAAGGCAAGACAAAGAAGTGAATTCTTAAGCCCATATACAAAGTACTAGTTAAAAAAGCAGACATATGCAAAGCACAATCTATGGAAATGAGAAGAAAGAAAGGAGCTTCTTTGCAAAGGAACACTGGGTTCCAAACAGAGGCTGTGTACTGCTTCTAAGGAAAAGTGACTTAAAAATCCAAGCTAACTTTGGCAAGAGGAAGAAAAATTCAAGATTTTCAGCAGATAGCAGCAGTTAGTAGCAAATAAACACAAGACAAGTTGAAGAATATAGATTTTACACACAAATGAGATGAGACTATCAGATCCAAACCATGGGGAAAAAAACAAACAAACCAAAACCACCCCAATGGATGTATTTATGGATGTATGCATGCATGCATGTATGTATGTATGTATCTATCTATCTATTTTGCATCAAACAATATTTTGGTATACACTCATATTCAAAAAAGACAAGATATGTCTCTTCTGAATAATTGCTACTATACACCAATAGATCCAAAAAGCAGGTAGGTAAAGAAAATGAATATAAAGATTGCTGAATAAAATAATTAATGTGACAACACATTTTGCTGGAAGAACAGAGTGCACGTGATGATGTGTAAGAAATTTTTCCCAGGAAAAAGCCTACAAAACAACAACCCAAATTCCTACAGATAAAAGAGCTAAAAGATTCACTTTCCAGGTAAAAGCATTTTTTCCCCTTGCAAAAGCCTGTTTAGTCAATATAAAATACCAACGTCATGTTTCACATACAAATATTTTACTAACAAAATACTTCATCTTTCGCCTAATTCCTGAACTGGTTTAATCCAGCTTTACTTGTTGTAAATGTTTTTCTTTAAATCTCAACCATAGAGAAGTGTGGTAAATAAACTTTATATTGACAGTCCTGCTGTTAAAACAATACCAGAAGAATACAATACCATTCAATAATTACCTCATTTCCCACCCACCCTCAATCTATATAAATGTCAAACAATCCAACAGTGTCAGTCAGAAGGACTGCTGATAAATAAACTAGTTTAAAATATATTATGTAAAACCTCTTAAGGAAATGGATAGTGCTAATGGTTAACTCAGAAACTGAACTAAAAGGTGAAAAATGTCACAGCTTCTAGAACAGAAGGCAAACTGAAGCTTACCATCAGGAAATTGCTCTGCATCATCATCAAACATGGCTTCCTTCAAAGCAGATTTGTTAAACGAACTATCAGAGTAATTGTATGGGTTATAATCTCGTGAGCGTGGTGAAGAGTGAGGAGGCATTGTGTTGAGTAATGATGTCTTGTTATCAAGAGCTGTTCGGCCTGTCTCGCTCACACCACCTCCTGCTCGTAGCTCTGCTATTCCAGAAGCACTGCTGATCTGCAGGAAAAGAAATACCAGATTTATGCATAACACACACTTTTCAAATCACTACTTTACACACACATCTAAGTAGCAGAAACTTCTAAAGATTGGAAAGTTTCCTAAGCATTCCTGAGGATACGTTAAGCTGGCCTTCAGGTAAGAAGACTTTGCTACAGCACCCTGAACTTTAAAAAAAAAAAAGAAAAAAAGAAGAAAAAAAAAAGGTGTACAATTCATGTTTAAGCATACACACTTTGGGCAGGTTCAGCAGATCTGAAAGTCGAAGTTCCACAGGAACAGAAGTTTAAAACAGTGTATTCGCCACTGAAAAACCTCTGGGTTTTGAATGGAATTAAACTTCTGGGAAAAAGAACAGTGTACAAATCTCTCAAAAATTAAACTCCTTGTTCTATGAGATGAAATTTTTAAAAGTACTGATGTTTAAAATAAACAAAAAGTTAATGCCACTTAAAATTAGCAATTAAAATGCATTCTGAATGCTGGGAACTGTTATGCTTGTTTCTTTTAAGCTCTGAAGTTAGCATATATGTCCCACCGCAGAAATCGGTGCAGACAAACCTACTTAAAAAGATGTTTTATCTTTAATAGTAGGTCAGATATTGGCTTGATTTGCCAGTACCAAGATGTACCACGTTTACTCACTGAATCAACATCATCTTTTTTTGAATCCCGTTTCACAGGTTCGTTCATATCCTCCTGACTGCGGAAACTGAAGTTCTGAATAGCTTCAGTGACTCCACGAAGAGAACTGTAAATATCTTCGGAATTCATGTTTTCTGTATCATAATCAAATGCACTGTGGGCCACGGAAAAGGACATACAAATAAAGGTGGATTTATTTTCTGATCCTGTATTTTTAAATAACATTAACATGGAAGTACAGACACACAGGAAACAGTAATAAAATTAAGCACTGCAAGTGGCTAGCCAAGAAAGCAGCATCTGACTCAAGTACAACTTCTGCTGTTTTACTCTTCTAAGAGAGTTTTACACCATTCTCCCTCTGTAAGAAAGATTTCCAGAGTAAGGGGAACTGATCAACGTATTGATTGACTGCTAAAAGCAAAGTTACAGAATCCACTTCACTGACAACTCTGATGCCATCAAAGAAGGTAAGAACATTTATGAACAATTCTTATCCCCCCCAAATTAATTCTGGCTGGATGACTTAAGGTGTTTTAACATGTGCTGGAGATGAAGGTTTCTCTTCCATCTCCTACTATGCCTCTTGCACTCTCAAGTGCACACGTTAGGAAAGCCCTGGCTCCTGTCAGACCATTCAGAGAGGTGGAACACTTCACTATTATGTCATTCTGTAGAGAAAGAGGGATTATTTTTCAGCATTTGTGACTGTGCAAAACACACTCCATTTGTTCACAGCCTGGTTTACTATTTTGGAGAACATGTTTAATGAAGCCTTAGATGCAGAACTGCAGCAACACTGGCCAACATTACCTTGGTGACAAAGTGTTCTGTGATGTATTAGTTGGGGAAGTGAGAGGACTTGACCAGCTTGCTGGGGAGCGTGGAGTAGGTCTTGTCAAAGGACTTCCCATTGAACCCTGGTAGAGGAGAGATGAGAAGAGATACTACAGCAAGTCCATAGCTTCCCCTTTACTTGATTATTCTTTTTTTTTTCTAGCACCCGTAAACATTTAAAGAAATGCTATTTAATTTCTTGGCTTCTCTAACCAATGACATTAATTTCAAATGTTTAACTCTGAAATAATTAACGTAAGAGATAATAAACACTTCTCTTAACAAGTCCATTCAAACTTCGTTAAGTCACTTACTTGGAAGTGACACACACTGAACAAATATCTCTGCAGGAAAATAAAAAGCATTCCATAAGGAGTGGTATCTGCTAATAAGACTTCAT